AGTGGTTGTACAAGTTTACATTCCCACCAACAGTGGAGGAGTGTTCCCTTTGCTCCACATCCTCTCCAACATTGGTTGTCATTGGTGATTTTGATAGCAGCCATTCTAACAGGTGTAAGGTGGTATCTCAGAGTCGTTTTGATTTGCATTTCTCTGATGATTAAGGAGGCCACAGTGTTTTGTTATATGTACTCTTTATTTGCTTTCCTTGGGTAGGAGGGACGCTGCTGATGCCCAGCCTCTAGAGATGCTCCCATATGATTTGCCAGGAGGCAGGTGCATCCCACCTAACTGAAAATCTCCATATACATTAGTTAATGGTACCTGGTTCTGAGGTAGTCTTGGATCTGCTTGGGGCCTTAGTGGTGCTAGGATAGGCAAGTTTGGCTAGGGGAGAATAGAAAAGAAAGAGAAAAAACAGAATGGAAAGTGTATTTTGGCTAGCCTGGTGGAGATGAAATAGCCTATCATTTCCTCAGGAAGGTCGTTCTCAATGAGACAGAGTAGCCAGTTTTGAATGGGAGTTAGAAGGTAGCTAATTTTAGTTACAGGGTAGCCAGTTTTGAATGGGAGTTACTGGCTTTTGCTTTGTTTCCTTTTAAACAAGGCTACCCCTTGGGAAGAGGGCCATCCTAGGATTTAAGGATATTAAATCTGGGGCCTAGGTAAGTTTCCAGAAGAAGGCTAAGCCTGGATCTTCCTTGGAGCAGAAAACAGGGGATCCATGCTGGTGTCGCAGGGATGGAGGGCATTGAAGAGTACCTAGGCCAGGAGTGCTGGCGTGTTTTATGTGTTGGTTCAGGGACTGTGATGACCTGCCAGGGACTCATGAGGTGGGCCAAGGCTTGGGATGTAGTGCACTGTTGGGTTCTGTGGTGAGGATTTAAGGGGACCAGGACATGGGATGGCAGAGAGTACTTAGCTGACAGCCCAATCCCCATTATCTCCTCATCTCACAGATGGCAGCGACCGAGGCGGTGCACCACATCCACCTACAGAACTTTTCGCGCTCACTCCTGGAGACCCTCAATGGGCAGCGGCTAGGCGGTCACTTCTGCGATGTGACTGTCCGCATCCGTGAAGCTTCCCTGCGTGCGCACCGCTGCGTGTTGGCCGCGGGCTCACCCTTCTTCCAGGATAAGCTGCTGCTTGGCCATTCAGAGATTCGTGTGCCCCCGGTGGTGCCCGCGCAGACGGTGCGCCAACTGGTCGAGTTCCTGTACAGTGGCTCGCTGGTGGTGGCTCAGGGTGAAGCGCTGCAAGTGCTCACAGCAGCGTCCGTGCTTCGCATCCAGACCGTCATCGATGAGTGCACGCAAATCATCGCACGTGCCCGTGTCCCCAGCACCCCAGCGCCTGCACCTCTGCCACCACCCGTGCCCCCTCCACTTGCTCCTGCGCAGCTGCGCCACCGTCTGCGCCACTTGCTGGCCGCCCGCCCCCCGGGTCACCCCAGCGTAGCGCACAGCCGCAAGCAGCGCCAGCCTGCACGCCTGCAGCTGCCTGCACCCCCAGCACCCATCAAGGCCGAGGGGCCAGATACGGAGCCATCGCTGACTGCCGCCCCTGAAGACAGAGGTGAAGAGGAAGACGATGAGGAGACAGATGAAGAGACCGACGCCGAAGAGGGTGAAGGCGGCGGCGGCCCAGGCGAGGGCCAAGCGCCCCCTGCTTTCCCCGACTGCGCAGGGGGCTTCCTTACAGCCACAGCTGACAGTGCGCGTGAGGACCCGCCTGCATCCACCGGCATCACTGATTATAGTGGTGCCGGCAGAGATTTCCTTCGCGGGACTGCTGTGACCGAGGATGTGTTCCCAGATAGTTATGTGTCTGCTTGGCATGAGGAAGGCAACGGGGGTCCAGAAGGTTGTCCGGTGGAAAGTTCTGCTCCACCTGACTGTGCTCTAGCTGGGCCTCGACCTACCAGTGTGAAGACCCCTGGACCACCTGTGGCTCTCTTCCCCTTTCACCTGGGTGCCCCAGGTCCGCCAGCACCAACACCTCCTACTCCATCAGGGCCAGCCCCTGCACCCCCGCCCACCTTCTACCCCACACTCCAGCCAGATGCAGCCCCCAGTGCTCAGCTCGAAACTCCCACTGTGTCTGCTGCCCCTGCTGCTCCAGCCACAGTCATCTCAGGCACTCCTGGGCGCGCACCTGGTGCCTCAGGTGCTGAGCAACCTGCCTATGAGTGTAGCCACTGCCGCAAGACTTTCAGTTCCCGGAAAAACTATACCAAGCACATGTTCATTCACTCTGGTGAGTGGGAGAGGAAAAGAAATCGGCTCTACTCGCACAGATTTCTGAGATCCTTAAGCACTGGAGATTTGGTTGCTGGGGGGGATTGGGCCCTTGATAAGCTTTGTTTTGTATTAACCTTAGAAGCCTGGAAATTTAGTTCCCAGTGTAAAGTGGGAGCCTGCCTTTTCCAAAGCCTCCCAAGGTCTTAGAAAACTAGATTCAGCCTGGGATGGTCAGGTTAAAGGAAGTGTTGGTGGAAAATTGACCAGCTTTGGGGGTGGGAGCTGCAGAAAGAGGCCTGAGGTGACTTATGGGGTAAATCATTTATGGGGTAGAAGAATGCTTGAAGTCGGGTGCGATCTGAGCATGTAGCCAATGTTGTTCCAGACAGGTAGAGTTCCTTGTTAAGGAACCCTGGCTGATCGTGGCATAATTGAATGATGATGTGGGTCCAGGAGAAGGGTTCCCAGTAGAGCAGGATTCCAGAGTGGTTTCCTTGACAAGCAAAGGCATCCTGAACTGACCCAGGAGGGGAGAATAGAGGAGTCCCTACCAAGGAGTCTCCAGGGAGAGCAAGCTGGACTAATGTATGTATGGCTTGCTTTGTCGTTTTCAGGGGAGAAGCCACATCAGTGCGCAGTGTGTTGGCGATCCTTCTCGCTACGTGACTACCTGCTCAAGCATATGGTCACACACACTGGCGTGCGAGCCTTCCAGTGTGCTGTGTGTGCCAAGCGCTTCACGCAGAAGAGCTCACTCAACGTGCATATGCGCACACACCGGCCGGAGCGCGCGCCCTGCCCTGCCTGTGGCAAGGTTTTCTCCCACCGCGCACTGTTGGAGCGCCACTTGGCAGCTCACCCGGCACCTTGATTGGGATCCAGCTGTACACAGTATGGAGGTGCAGTCAGACCCCTGGACTCGGTCCACTCCACCAGAAGGCTCTTGCTCCGGAGTATGGGACCCTCTCTCTTCCCCACTCTCACCCCATTTTCCCTGTGGACTTGGGACTCAGAACCCGATTTCCCTCCTACACATGCTTAGCATCTCTGGATGGGACATGCCTGGGTGGAGGATGGTCAGGGACTCTGCCACCTCAGAGACCTAGACCATTTCCAGGTTGAGCTGGGCACACAGACTCTTGCAACCTGATGCAGGATTTTCGCCCCACCCCCTATTAGGGTATCATGTCTAGGGCTGGCCTCTGCCCTGATGCTGGGCTAGTGTCGAGTCCTGCTTGACATGCTGAACGGGTTCTGAAGGGGGGAGTGTGGGGGAAACGATAGCTATGAAATATAGATGTAGATGAAGAAAAAGACAGAGACACAGGATAACTTCCAGAGGTTCTGGGTCAGTACCGCAGACCTCGACTTTATTGCTAACAGCCTTTATATACACAAAAGCAAAGGGAGGCAAAAAGACCTCCCCCTTTCGAGGACATCGCAGTTCAAAGTACAGTTAAGTGTAAACACTTCCTTAGTACTCAAGATCTCTGGCGGCCACACCTTACAGCAAGCATCCTGTAAATAGGCCTTGAGGTGTAAGATACCTGGTAACCAGCCTTTGGCCAAAACATCCTATCATGCTGTCTTGCAGGGGAAAAACAAGCTCGGACTCTCTGATCAAGATGAAAACAGGCCACAAGCTGGGGGTCTCTGGGCCCCCACATGCTAGAATTCTCTGACCTCACCCCCAGTCTGGAGCCACCCTTCCCTCATTTGGCACCCATGGAGGCTCAGATGGACCTACCATGGGACTTTAGAATTCCGTTCTAATAAAGGACATTGGGCCAGTGCACACTAGTAGGTTTTTGGGCTATGGGGTGGGGGCTTGGTCCCCATGTTCCTGGGTTATACCTTTGCAGTCCCCCAGATTTCCTGGGCAGGTAGGCACAATTTGGTTTGATAGCCTGGACTTTTATTTTGGGATTTAGGTGGGTGGGCTGCATATATAACAATCACCCAGTTTTCTTGAAGTGTTCAACCCTGTGGGCAGGGGAATCTCAGTCCCAATGCTGGCTGCTATATACACAATCGTTGGAGTCCCCCTTTCAACCAGAAATCTTATAGACTCAAGATTCTCCCTCCCCTATTCTGATGGACATGAATGTTGGACATCTTGTGAGATGCCCAGAAGGGTTCTTTGGGGACCAGGCTGCATTGAGGACATTTGAACTTGGGCTCCAAGTACTAGAGAACCCAGAGTGAATGAGATGGCTGTGTCAGGTGGGTGAGAAGAAAGAATGGCTAGGTCCCAGGTTGCCTATTGACTATAGAAGGTGACCAAGAAAACCAGCATTGTATCTGCTATCAGCTCAGAGACCCAGCCCTGTGTCCTTCCCACCTCCGATACACTGATGTCTCACTGTAAGGGTTTGGTGCCAAGAGCTCTTCTCTGGGCATCACAAGCAGAGCTCTCAGCCTTTTGAGTCCCACGACTCAGTCCATAAGGATACCGGAAGTGAGGCAGAGTCCCAGGGCAGCAGGCTCATGGTGGAGAACAGAAGTGTGTTTAAATCCAGGTGACAAAGGTGTTCTAAGTGTTTACTGAGCTGTCTCCGTGTACCTGATAGTTCGGGGCAAGGGATTTTGTGAACGGCCCTCAGAGCAGGTAAGTAGAGCCATGGGTTGTGCGTCTTACCCATTTTTCATGCTTGGCTGCAGTTCGGCAGGTCCTATCCCCTGTCGCCCTAGTTTCCCACACTTAACAGACATGAAATGGAGACAAATGCTGGCCTCCAGAGAAGGCTGGTTGGTGGTGACCAAAAGAGGTGGAGCAGGCCTCGTGACCAGGCAGAGGGCTGGAACAGCGGGAGGACTCCCAGCCAGTAAGAGCTATGTGACAGAAGAACAGAAGGACAGAGTCCAGGGGATAAGAGCAGTTGCTGAGAGTACCTATTTGGGGAGTGGGGTAGACAGATTCCCTTAAACGCAGCAAGTTAGGGCTTCGGAGCTCTGGGCAGAGTTGAGACTACACGCTCTCAGCCACTTCGGAAAGGGCCAGTGCCATGGGTGTTTGGCAGAAACTGACCTTCCTCCTGCTTTTGCTGCTTGGCCTGAGGCAGCCCCCATGGCCAGCAGCTATGGCTGTGGCCCTGCGTTGGTTCCTGGGAGACCCCGCATGCTTTGTGCTGCTTGGCTTGGCATTGCTGGCCAGACCCTGGATCAGCTCCTGGATGCCCCACTGGCTGAGTCTGGTAGCTGCGGCTGTCACATTAACTCTGTTGCCTCCACAGCTACCCCCAAGGCTACGCTGGCTACACAAAGATGTGGCCTACGTGTTCAAGATCCTCTCTTGTGCCCTGAAAATTAGGCGACTCCTTAACAGGCAGCCTCCAGAGACCTTTGTGAATGCTTTGGAGCGGCAAGCGCAGGCCCGGCCTGACCAGGTAGCTTTTGTGTGTACAGGGCCCGGGGCCTGCTCGATTACGAACAGCCAGCTGGATGCCAGGGCCTGTCAGGCAGCATGGGCACTGAAAGCCAGGCTGAAGGATACCACAAACCAGCAGGCCACGAAGACTGCTGCGCTCTTAGTGCTCCCCTCCAAGAACATTCCTGCTTTGACTGTGTTCCTGGGGTTGGCCAAGCTGGGCTGCCCTGTGGCCTGGATCAACCCATATGGCCGAGGGATGCCCTTGTTACACTCTGTGCTGAGTTCTGGGGCCAGTGTGCTCATTGTGGACCCAGGTGAGTGACCCAGGGGCAATGAAAAGAGGGGACAGAAGCAAGGGAGGTCAGAAGTTTCTGGAAGATTAGCAGAGAGTCTTTGTCCCTGTCCCATGCGATTAGGGTCAAAATGTTGGTTCTGGACTCACCACTTTATTTTTTCCCTAAATCTTTCAAGCCTATTTGATTAATTTGTTTGTTTGTTTGTTTCGAGATAGGATTTCTCTGTGTAATTTTGGTACCTGTCCTGGATCTTGCTCTGTAGACCAGACTGGCCTTGAACTCACAGAGATCCGCCTGGCTCTGCCTCCTGTGTGCTGGGATTAAAGGTGTGTGCCACCACTGCCCGGCTACTTTTTTTTTAATTGAAGTTTTTGTTGGTTTGTTTGTTTCCAAGACAGGATCTCATTATGTGAAGCTTTGGCTATCCTGGAACTTGATATGTAAATCAGGCTGGCCTCGAACTCACAGAGATCCACCTGTCCCTGCCTCCTGAGTGCTGGGATTAAAGATGCCAGGCCATGATGCCCAGCTTTATTTGACTAAAGTTGTATTTTATGAATTATAAGGTTCTTCTGTTGACAGGGTTTCTCTGTGTAGCCCTGGCTGTCCTGGAACTCACTCTGTAGATCAGGCTGGCCTCAAACTCAGAGATCCTCCTGCCTCTGTGCGGCTCCCCTCCCCCAGTGCTGGGGCACACGCCACCACCGCCCAGCAAAGTTCTTTATTCAAGAATGAGGAAGCTTTTCTCTTGCTTTCCTGTTTCTGAGTCTCTGAGACTCCCTCTTGACTTTGAAGGAAGGTAAGATTTACCTCTTTTTTTTCCTCTGATGGTCCATGTAGACCTCCAGGAGAGCCTGGAAGAAGTCCTTCCTAAGCTGCTGGCAGAGAATATCTGCTGCTTCTACCTTGGCCACACGTCACCCACTCCAGGTGTGGAGGCTCTGGAGGTGGCCATGGATGCTGCACCTTCTGACCCAGTGCCTGCCAGCCTTCGAGCTAACATCCAGTGGCAAAATCCTGCCTTATTCATCTATACTTCAGGAACCACCGGTGAGGAGGCCGACGTCCCTGCCCCCACCCTCCGCACTCTGACCTTAACCTCACTCACCTTTCCACCGAGCCTTCTGTTTGTCCTCTGACACCCAACCTCTGACTTTGACTCTGACCCTGAGTGTGGTTCTGTTTTGTTTGGATTTATTATCACCAGCTTTGAAAACCAACCACAGAGTGGGAGGTGGTGCTGTTCACATGTAAATCATAACACTCACAGGGTTAAGAGGCCAGAGGTTGTGGAGTTCAAGGTCTGCTCCTTTCACTGGTTCCCATCCTAAAATCAAACAATACACATATTAACATGTCCCCTGTGCAAGGATGACAGGCAAATTCACAAAGCATTCCACTCCGTGTTTTTATTTTTATTATTTATTTATTTATTATGTATACAATATTCTGCCTGCATGTATCCCTGCAGGCCAGAAGAGGGTGCCAGATCTCATTACAGATGGTTGTGAGCCACCATGTGGTTGCTGGGAATTGAACTCAGGACCTTTGGAAGAGCAAGCAGTGCTCTTAACCTCTGAGCCATCTCTCCATCCCCACTCCATGTTTTTAAAAAGGAATACAAATTCAAGCTGGGTGTGGTAATGCACATCTTTAACCCCAGCACTCAGGAGGCAGAGGCAGGAGGATCTCTTGAGTTTGAGGCCAGCCTGGTCTCCAGAGCAAGTTCCAAAATAACCAGGGCTACACAAAGAAACCTTGTCTCGGGATAAATAAATAAGGAATGAAGGTTCTTTTGGATGGAAAAAAAGGGAGAGAAAAGGAAGAAGGAAGGAAGAGAGGAAAGAAGGAAGGGTTGAAGTCTGGGTTACATAGTGAGTCCAGGCTAGCTTGAGCCATAGGGAGATCTTGTGTCAAAAAACAAAACATGCAGAAAAACCATCACCAACAAAAAGACACTCAACAAGTTTCTGTGTTTATTGTTACTTACTGTTTTGGTCTTTTGAGACAGAATTTTTTTTTCAAAAATCTATTTATTACATGTACAGTGTTCTGCCTACATGTATACCTGCATGCCAGAAGAAGGCACCAGATCTCATTATAGATGGCTGTGAGCCATGTGGTTAACTGGAAATTGAACTCAGGACCTCTGGAAGAGCAAGCAGCCAGTGCTCTTAACCTTTGAGCCATCTCTCCAGCTCTTAAGACAGAGTCTTGCTCTAACAGTTTTAACTGACTTTGGACTCCCTATGTAGCTGCCTCACCCTCTTGGGTGCTGGGATTATAGGCTTGCCCCACCTTACCCAGAAAAATCATCATACTTGGTCCCCTCTGAGAGGCTCAAAGGCAGGCAGGCTTGTGGAGACCCACCCTGCAGTGGTGGTCTCTCTTCCTACCCAACCCTTATTGCTCTGTCATCCTCCAGGACTCCCAAAGCCAGCCATCCTCTCACATGAGCGGGTCTTACAAGTCAGCAAGATGTTGTCATTCTGCGGGGCCACAGCTGATGATGTGGTCTATGTTGTCCTACCTCTGTACCATACAGCTGGCCTTATCCTCGGAGTCCTGGGCTGCTTAGAACTTGGTGAGTCTCCCAAGGATGACGGTGTGTTAGTGGGGGGCAATCAAAAGGACACGATTCTATACTCTGCACCCTGAGTTTGTTTTCCCCACCCCAGATTGGGCCATGTAGCCCAGGCTGGCCTCAAACTTGGTATATAGCTGAAGGTGGCCTTGAACTTCTGATCCTTCTGACTGTATCTCCCAAGTGCTGAATTACAGGTGTGTACCACTGTAGTGCCTGTGTTGAAAGACCCCTGAGCAAGACCACCACAGAGTTGATATCCAATGCAAGCACACAGGGGTTTATTAATAGCAAAGCAAGCTCAGGCTTGGTCCCTGTCCAATACTTGACACAGCAGTTGGAGGAAGATGGCCAGAGCCCTCACTTCAAGGGGTTTATATAGGAAAGGTTTATGTGCAGAGGGTTACATATCTCAGGATTGGACAAGGGGGCTAAGGGTGAGGTAGTTCTTTGAAGTTACTGGCTGAACTATAATCGTGAAATTACTAGTGGCTGACAGGATACAGGGTATCTACAGAGATATACATTTTTTACTCCCTATATCCTGTTTTGCGGAATCCAGGATATATGCACTTAGATTTATGGTTCTAGCCCTATCTCCATACGAGTTCAATGAGTTCAATCTCCGGTCAGCTGTAAAACTGCTGGTCAGCAAATACCTTTGGAGTGGGGGGGGGGTGTCTCTGAAGAGGGCTTCTGATTTTTCCCTTTAGCATGCCCAGTTGTAGACACTTTATCTTTTTTTTTTTTTTTTTTTTTTGAGAGACAGGGTCTCAGGCTGGTGGTGGTGGCAGTGCATGCTTTTAATCTGAGCACTTGGGAGGCAGAGGCAGGTGGAGTTCGAGGCCAGCCTGGTCTACAGAGCGAGTTCCAGGACAGCCAGGGCTACACAGAGAAACCCTGTCTCAAAAAAAAACCAAAACAAGCAGGGTGGTGACCAATACCACTAAGCTCGATACAACACTCAGGAGGCAGAAGCTGGAGAACTAATGTAGTTTCAGGCTCAGCCCGGTTACATGCATAACAAGGTCCAAGCCAACCATGGCTAGAAACTCAGTAGTTAAGACTACCTGGGGCTCTTGTAGAGAATCCAGGTTTGGTTCCCATGCCAACATCAGATGGCTTCTCATCACCTGTCATTCCAACTCCAGGGGGTCTGATGTCCTCTCCTGGCCTCTCCAGGCATCCACATGCATGTGGTGCATATACATACATACATACATACATACATACATACATACACACATAGGCATGCACACATACACATTCAGGCATGTACATATACACACAAAAAGCAAACAAATCTGCCAGGTGGCGGTGGTGCACACCTTTAATCCCTTCACCTGGGAGCCAGAGACAGGTGGATCTCCAAGTCTGAGCCCAGCCTGGTCTACAGAGTGAGTTCCAGGACAACCAGGGCTATAAAGAGAAACCCTGTCTCTAATTGCCCCCCCAAAGAAAAACAAAAAATCTTTCATAAAAAAAAATCAAAACAGAACAAAAAAAAAAAAATGCCTTCTAGAAGCTCCATCCCCAAACCTGCAGAATTACTATTTATTTTGCAGGTTTGGGGATAGTCCAAGACCTTGAACATTCGAGGTCTGTTTCTAGTGAATTTGGGGCACCTGCTCTACCATTGAGCCACACCACCATCCCCTCACTGGTAAATCTTAGGTGTGTGGGTCATTTAGGTGAGTGTAGCATTACTTTGCATTTGAAACACCACAACCAGGTGACCACATAGATTCTCTCAACAACATGGAACATGATCACTCATTTTCTTTTTCCCTACCAGGAGCGACCTGTGTCCTGGCCCCCAAGTTCTCTGCCTCCCGCTTCTGGGCTGACTGTCGGCAGCATGGTGTGACGGTGATCCAGTATGTGGGTGAGGTCCTGAGATACCTGTGTAATGTTCCTGAGGTGAGGCTCTAGGATGAAGGCTCCAAAGTGAATTCCCAGGCACGAAACCCTAGATGACTTTCCACATAAAGTAGTTGTCAGATAAAGATTTAGATAAGGAGTGAAGGCATGACTCAGGAGCAGAGGACAGGCTTTGCATGTGTGAGACCCGACATCAGAGACAGAAAGACCCATACCTATGGGGCTCAAGCAAAGTCACCTCTTGGCTACACAGAGTTGAATGTTAGCCTGGCCTATACTGACACTCTGCTTCAAAACAAAGTCTCACATGATAAGTTCCGAATACTTCCACATTTTCTCATTTCTTTCTCATTTACTTATTTGTTTGTTTGTTTGTTTGTTGTTGTTTTTTTTGTTTTTGTTTTTGTTTTTTGAGACAGGGTTTCTCTGTGTAGCTTTGCAATCTGTCCTGGAACTCACTCTTTAGACCAGGCTGGACTGGAACTCACAGAGATCCACCTGCCTCTGCCTCCCGAGTGCTGGGACTAAAGGCATGCACCACCACCGCCCGGCGATGCTCTTACTCTTATAGAGCAATGAGCTATGGTCCCTAGAAAACTGTCTCCAGGTAATATGCCCCACCTCCCAGTCTCTTCCCACCCCTTCAGTTTCAAATCAAAAGCCCCATGAGAATCTTTGCCGGTAAGGTCCCTTCCTTGGGTAACACTTCAAGATAAGGTTTCAAGCAGGTTGGTGGTGGTGGTGCACACCTTTAGTCCCAGCACTTGGGAGGCAGAGGCAGGCGGATCTCCGTGAGTTTGCGGCCAGCCAGGTCTACAGAGCGAGTTCTAGGACAGGCTCCATAGCTACACAGAGAAACCCTGTCTAGAAAAAAAGAAAGAAAGAAAAAAACAAAACAAAACAGAAAAAGATAAAGTTTCTAGTGACTTCCCACTTTACCTATAAATGAATGTCACCACTCCACAGAAACCCTTGTAGATAATGCCTCCAGATAGCAATTCTCCTAGATCAATGTTCCTGGAAACTACCCCAAGCAGTGTCAGATGGTCAGATGCCTACCTGAGGTTGATGTCTCCAGTTACTCCTAGCTTGGTAACTCTTCAGATAAGGATACCCCCCAAGAAACTTTCTCTAGGCAAATGCCCACAGGGATAATTTAAGTACAGACACTGATAACTTTTTGTTTGTTTATTTTTTGTTTTTCGAGACAGATTTTCTCTGTGTAGTTTTGGTGCCTGTCCTGGAACTTGCTCTGTAGACTAGGCTGTCCTTGAACTCAGAGATCCGTCTGGCTCTGCCTCCCAAGTGCTGGGATTAAACGTGTGTGCCACCACCGCCTGGCTCCAATAATTTTTTTAAAGATGGAGCTCTCTCTCTATAGTCCAGGCTGGCCTGTGATTTGCTATGCAGCTCATTCTGATCTCCAACTAACAGTCCTGCTCAGTTTCCTGAGGGCCAGGATTATAGGCATGCCCTGCACTCATGTCTAACCTTTTTTTTTGTTGTTGTTTGTTTGTTCATTTTGTTTTCTCTATATAATAACAGTCTTGGCTGTCCTAGAACTCTCTCTGTAGACCAGGCTGGCCTCGAACTCACAGAAATCCTCTTGCCTCTGCCTCCTGAGTGCTGGAATTAAAGGCATAGTGGCAGGACCTATACTTAGGGAATTTACCTGGAGTACTTAAGAAGAGTTAGACATTACTAGGCTGTGGTGGTGCATGCCTTTGCATGCCTTGGGTAATTTCCAAGATTAAGATATTTTCTGGGCTGGAGAGATGATTCAGAGGTTAAGAGCACTGGCTGCTCTTCCAGAGGTCCTGAGTTCAATTCACAGCAACCACATGGTGGCTCCCAACCATCTGTAGTGAGATCTGGCGCCCTCTTCTCGCCTGCAGGCAGACATGCAGACAGAACACTGTATACATAATAAATACAATATACAAAATAAATAAATAAACAAACAAATAAATAAAAAAGATCTTTTCTTCAGAAAGAGTTCCCAGCCATAACTTCCAGGGCACCGCTTTCTGACCCTTCTTGGGATGTCCCTGCAGAAACCCGAAGACAAGATACATCCAGTCCGCTTGGCAATGGGCAATGGACTGCGGGCGGATGTGTGGGAAACCTTCCAGCAACGCTTTGGCCCCATTCGGATCTGGGAATTCTACGGCTCCACGGAGGGCAACTCGGGCTTGATGAACTATGTGGGACGATGCGGGGCTGTGGGCAAGACCAACTGCTTCCTTCGAGTGAGTGGACGGGGCTCCCAGCGTGATGGCGGTCCCGAGGCTGAGCCCCCGGGACCTTTGCCAATGCTCCCCGCCCTCCATCCCAGATGCTGAGCCCCTTTGAGCTTGTACAGTTTGACGTAGAGACGGCAGAGCCTGTGAGGGACAAACAGGGTTTCTGCATCCCCGTGGGGCCAGGTAAGGAGGTCAGCAAGTCTTTAGATGTGTGAGGGGTAATTACTTCCACCTCCTTGGCTGGAACCAGCTGCCTAAAGTCCTTTTTATTATTTTTTATTACATTTTTTTAGTGTAATGTCTCATATAGCCCAAGCTGGTCGTGAACTCTTAATCCTTGTGCCTCTACTTCCCAAATGCTAGGATTACAGGAGCGTGCCGCCGCCACACCTGGCCCAAAGTCATAACATGGTGATAGGTGGTGATGTCTGCAACCCTCACCTTGAACTCGAGTCACTGGCCTGTCTGACCATCACTTGTGGACCTCTGCCTTACAGGATTTGGGCTCTGCCCAGCTCTCCTGCTTCCGTCTTATTCTGTTCTGCTGCCTTGATGTGTGTCTATTGGTTCTCTTGAGCTTTCTGTAGGGGTCACACCCTCCGAGATATCGGTCCCTTACCCTGTACCTTCTCTCCTGGGGTTTTGCAAGGGCTCTGGCATATCTTTCTCCCACTCATCCCCTTTGTCAGTTCCTCACCCCCACCCTGTTTCTTATGGGCACCCTGATGCTACCTTCTCTTTTTCAGAACTCTCTGGTTTTCCAAGTTTCTCTCTCTTCCTCTTGGTTTCTCTCGCCTTTGGTCTGAGTGTCTCCCATCAACCCATCTTTTAAAATTTTATTTTATAGACATGAATGTTTGCCTGCGTTGATGAATGTGCACCGCGCACGTGTGTGCTTGGTACCTGAGGAAGGCAGAAGGTGATTGCGAGGCTGTGTGGATGGATGGTAGCAACCTAACTTTAGATCCTCTGGAACGACAGCCAGTGTTCTTAACCACTGAACTGTCTCTCCAGCCTTAACAGTACAACTTAGTTCTACCTTTGGCTGGATGAAGAGTGAGGAACCTCTAGCAGGAGCAGACTCACGAGTTGATGGGGTTCTCATTTAGGGCTTATTTTCCATTTATACCTCCAGGAGAGGCAGGACTCCTATTGACCAAGATACTAAAGAACCAACCCTTCCTGGGTTACCGTGGGTCCAAGGAACAGTCCAAGCGGAAACTGGTTACAGATGTGCGGCGCTCAGGAGACCTCTACTACAATACTGGCGATGTACTGTCCTTGGACAGTGAAGACTTCCTCTACTTCCATGACCGCCTGGGTGACACCTTCCGGTCAGGCATGGGTGGTTTAGGGAATGGGGCTTCTGGGGTCCATTCTGCCTAGGGATGGATGGGACCCTCTCTTCCCTGGGGCTGGGGTCGCTCCGCTTGGGGAGGGTAGCATCCCTTTCAGGGGGCGGAGCATTCCTAGCTTGGGCGTGGCCTCCCATCCTGCAGGTGGAAGGGCGAAAACGTATCCACACGAGAGGTGGAGGGAGTGTTGTCCAGCCTAGACTTCCTACAAGAAGTCAACATCTATGGCGTGCCTGTGCCAGGTATGGAGAGTTTGCCCGACTTTAAACATCTTGCACCTTTGGGGGTGGAAGGTGGTCATTACAAGTCTGGGGCACCTTTGGGGTACAGAGAGGTGAAGAGCTATGTCTAGTTGCACAGCCGGTGAGCAGAGCTGGGACAGCTGAGTGACCAGTGTGCTTTCTAGGGTGTGAGGGTAAGGTCGGTATGGCTGCTGTGAAGCTGGCTCCTGGGCAGAATTTCGATGGGCAGAAGCTATACCAGCATGTCCGTTCCTGGCTCCCTGCTTACGCTGCACCTCATTTCATCCGTGTCCAGGTGAGAGCGAGGTAGCAGGAGTGGATGGATAAGGGAATTGGTATCGCAATCAGGGCTCATGATTACTGCTTTGCAGGACTCCCTGGAGGTCACGAGCACCTTCAAGCTGGTGAAGTCACAACTGGTGCGTGAGGGTTTTGATGTGGGAGTCATTGTTGACCCATTGTACATCCTGGACAACAAGACCCAGACCTTCAGGCGTCTAATGCCAGACATGTACAAGGCTGTGTGTGAAGGAACGTGGAAGCTATGACCAACTGAAAGGCTATCCAAAAGTGTGGAACCCGATGCTGGCCAGGGTTCTTAGCATCAACTTCACAAAGTTGTCAGGATCCCAGATACCCATGGTCTAGCAGCACTTAGAGAATAAACTTGAATGTGTTTGCAGAAGGAAGCCTGTGTGTGGATTTAAAACAATAGATGAATGCAGCTGTTCAGTGCTGCCCCTGCCCCTCCCCCTCCTCTCCCCCATCCCTACCCCCCATCCCTGCCTGCTCCAGGGTTCCCTGCCAAGGACCAGCTTTGAAGCTGTTCCAGTGAAGAAGAGTGCTGACTGCAGCTCTGGGTCTTCATGTGTAGTCTTGGATGTCGTGAAACTCACTATGTAGACTAGGCTGGCCTTGAACTCAGAGATCTGCCTACTGCTGCCACTATGCCCAGCTCCCTTTTGTTTTTATTATGTGTATGCGTGTGTGGGGGGGGGGGTATGTGCATGTGAGTGCAAGTACCCACAGAGATCAGAGGTATCATATCCCCTTGGAGCTGGAGTTCAAGCAATTGTGAGCCACCTCGTGTAAGTGCTGGGAACTGAACACACATCCTATGGGAGAGCAGTCAGTGCTCTTAACCACTGAGCCATCTCTCCAGCCCCCTGTATGTTGCTTTAAAGGCCAAGGGGTGACAAAAGTGGTGTTTACCTTTCTAGTGTTACCAGGTGTCTTAGGGTTACTCTCTGTACGATGAAACACCATGACCAAAAGCAAAATGAAGAGGAAAGGGTTTATTTGGTTACAATCGAAATCCATCATCAAAGGAAGTCAGGACAGGAATTCAAACACGGCAGGAGCCTGGAGGCAGGAGCTGATGCAGAGTCCATGGAGGTGTGCTTGCGTCTCATGGCTTGCTCAGCCTGCTTTCTTTTAGAGCTCAGGACCACCAGACTAGAGATGGCCCCACATCAATCACTAACTAAGAAAATGCTCTGCAGACTTTCTTACAGCTGGGTTTTATGGAGGCATCTTCTCAGTTGAGGCTCCCTCCTCTCTGATGACTCTAGCGTGTGTCACGTTGACATAAAACTAGCCAGCATATCAGGAAAATGGCCAGTGGGGTTCAAAGTCTCAGTGGCCTCTAATGCTACTTTAACATTCCCCTATCAAGAGTTGAGGACCATGGGCTGGAGGGATGGCTCAGAGGTTAAGAGCACTGACTGCTCTTCCAGAGGTCCTGAGCAACCACATGGTGGCTCACAACCATCTGTAATGACATCTGGTACCCTCTTCTGGCCTGCAGACAGATATGCTGTATACATAATAAA